GCCTCAGTTTCCCGAGGCGGCACGTTGGCACCAGACCCTTGTGGGGCTGGGGACCGTTGGGTTGGCCTCTGGTGATTCGGGGTGCGAGCCCGTTCTCTGGGACCGTGAGCCGCCTTTCCCCACGCGCAGCCCCCGAGTGCAGGGTTTTGGGGTGGCACAGCAGGACTCAGACCGCTCCGCAGCTCCGGGCAGCCCTGTCGGTGCTGGGTCTCTGCCGCTCCGTCACCCTCTGGCCCTGCAGAGGAGCCGGGGTCGCTTCCGTGAGGAGGAAGCGTTTGGGGGGCAGAGTTGTCCTCACAGCAGAGTGGCCTCCCAGGACTGGTGATGACGGTGACAACGGAAACACTCCCTCTGCCAGAGCTGGGGCAAGCGGGTGCCCTCGGGCCATCAGCACCCCTGGGGACAGCCCCAGCGGCACAGCGAGCCGTGTCCCCCAGGGCTGGGCACAAACCTGCCCTGCTGCCCTAGGGCTCGAGCAGGCCCTGCTGAAGGCCCCCAGCCCTGGTGCGAGGAGGATGAGGATGGTGTGAACCATGGCCCAGCTTGGGGACCGTGGGAAGCCCGACCTGCCTGGCACCCAGGAGTGGGGACCTCCATGGCCGGGCTCTCCTCAGGGTAAATACCCACCATCAAAACAGATAGGATGGGGTGGCTTGAACCTGCCGCTTTCTGCCAGCCCAGGGACCGCTGCCCTGCGCTTTGGGATGGTTTTCACGGGAAAGCAGCATTCGTCAAAGCATCCGCATCCTGGGATAAAGCACAAGCTACTTTCTGGTGATGGGAGCGAGCAAAAGTGGGACCCAGCCCCTCAGCCTGACTGTTTCCATCGCAGCTCCTGGTCGGTAACCCAGTGCCAATGGGCGTTTGGGGTCCTCGGTCTTGGCTCCTGCATCCTCATGTGTGGATTCTCACCCTGTGTCCCCCTGGCACACGTGGCCCTGCCTCGGGCCCCCCCCAGGCCTCAGCATGTGTGCCAGAGGCTTCTGGGCTCACCCCGTCAGCTGGCTCGGAAATTAGCCTCCATCAAGTTAATTGCCAAACCGCTCAAAGCCTGAAATTAAACATTAAAGCTGTCA